TTTTACGTGACTGATCCAGGATGCCGGCAGCAAAGGGCCACCATTGATGCTCACAGGTATGCAGTAGAACCGCTTGTGACTGAGCCCTGTGGAAATTGGCAGCATCCCTGGGACTGTGAAGTGCAGGGATGTGGCCTCAGGACCCTTTGGGATAGCGTCATCGATGCACACAAAGCCTCCACCCGAGCTGTTACCGAAACTGTGGGATCCCAAAGACCAGCGAGGGAAAAAATTGTTCACTGCGAATTTAGGAATCAACAGAGGCTAGCGCTGTACTCAGCTCAGAGTGCTAAGGATGCAGGAGAGCAAGGTTTATTCAGCCCCGTGTGGGCTCAGTGGGGTCCTCTCCAAAAGCTGAGCACTTCCCTTGTTCCCAGCATCTTTCATACAGTGCAGACTTCCCAGGCGAGTAGCCTCCATGTCACCCCCTTCTCCAGGCAGCTCTGATTCCTGTCCCAGCTGCTGATGACACAAGCAGAAACAAGCAGGTTGCAGCTATTAAGAGAGAGAGAAAGAAGCATCTTAGGAAGGAGTTGCCGCTTTGGTAACGCTGCTTAGAATTACTGAGAAGAAATGTCCCAAAGCACATTATTCTGCAAAGAGGTACTAAATAAAACTCTGGGCATGGAACATCCACAGCAGTGAGTCAATGCTTCGAGACTAAGGGAATATTGAAGCTCTGTGGGGACCTGTGTGCTGGTGGTGGCTGCGATGGCAGCCAAGTGTGATGTGAAAATCTTCAAAAAAAAAATTAGAAAAAGGCATATAGGTAAAGAATAACAGCACCCTTGAAGTTCAATTTAAACACATGAAGCCATCCAGATCCATTGTAAGAAAGCCTCTGTTCATCAGGGAAAAAAAAAATGATAAATACTATTTCCAACCAGTCACTCATGTGAACAGTTTCGCATTGATGGTGGCTGCCAAAAATTTGAAGAGATCATTGCTAAGAAGTCTTGATTGGGAATTGCCAGTAGGCATTTGGAGAGCAAGACCTGCTTTGAAATGTGTGCTAAAAAAGACACTAGAGTTTCCGATGCCCATTGCTCTGGTGCGGGAATCTGTTTCCTCACACCATGGCCTGCTGTCCCTGAATCTGTGTCTTCCTGATGGGTGCAAACCCAATCTCATTTATTGCTTTGATTTGCATATTGCCAATTACTAGTGTGATTAATTAGAATTACTTAGATTTTCCAGGCATGTATATTTTCTATCCAGTAAGTGCTTTTTATATCTTTTGCTTGTTTTTCTATAGAACTATTTTGCATTTTCCTATTCATTGGTAGGAACCATCCCAAAGCTTTAGATATTATTTGCTTGTTAGGTGTGGTGCAAATACTTCCCCCTGGGTCACTCGTTTTTAAAATTTTCTTTCATGGTGTGTTTTGTCCAAAATTCTGAAATTTTTATGCCACCCAATTTCCCATCTTTTCTTCCATGACTTTGGCATTTTGAGCCATATGAACCACTAGGCAAAGGCTAAAAGTTCTCTTTGTCTGGAAATTTCAAACCGTAGACATTTAATTTAGCATTTCTTTCTTAGGTGTTGTCCAATTAAGGCTTTTTATTGCTTTATCTTTGTTGTTGTTGCAGTAGGTAAGTGGACAATTTGGTCAATAGCTGTTTTGATTTTTACAGCAATACATCTCTCTGGTGGTTTTCGATGGTGTGGCTCTTTGTCTTAATTCTTCCAATGATTCTGTTGACTGCTGCCGTTTTGTTGAGTAGCTGTGGGGTTGTTACATTGTCCTTTATTTTCACATGAGGGAGACAGAAGATCTTAAATAGCACGTTGGCTCAGAGAGTCTGGGCTTGCACAGAGACCAGCTTCAGGAAGACGTGAGGGACCAGCAACCAGGAAGCAGGTCTCAGGCCACGGCTTGGGCTGCTAGAGGAGCAGAGCCTTTGAACGTGTCACCACGAGGCATCAACACTGGGCAAGGGCTACACTGCAGAGACTGCCCCAGGAACTTCCTTGGTTTTGCCTCAAGTCTATGAGAGTACAAATGGACCTGCGTTGGTCTTCGTGGCTCATGGCGCATGCCATGTTAACCCACGAGTTCAGCAGGGGCGAGTTCTGGCTCCTTTCTGGTGTCTTCGCCAGACCACACTGCCAGCCCTGCTCCTATGAAGCTCTTGTAGGGTCTGGGCCTCTTTGGAGCCCCCAGGGAACTGGAGCCTCCCAGCAGCAAGGTCTGGATCTGGGAGTCACAGATCCTGAGTCGCGTTCTAGACTAACTTGATTCTGTGCAGTTGACCTTCTTGAAGGCCACATAATTTTCACCGCTCCACAATTCCCTCTGTTTTATTAGTTCTGATCGTAAGCCTGGTTACATGAATAAGGCACTGTGGACTGGCTATCTGTTAGCAAATTCTAGAGATTCCCACGGTGGTGAATGATGAAACTCTTAACCCTACCTGCCTCCTTTGATGTCTTCCCAACTTAGTAAGCTCATGAGCATGGGGAGTGAGCAAGTTAGCAGAGCTTATCACCCAACACTCATGGTTGATTGCATCACAGGGCTTGAGAATTGGAATCTGGACTAAATGCTTTTTTAAAATCTTTTCCGTGTCTAAGAAATTTGGCCTACTGAATACATTCTGGAACTCAGTTTAAGCCAAGGTTAATGATGTACATCACTGTCACTGTTCTCCACAGAAACACAACATTAACAGAGTCTGGTGACTGGATTGCTTTTTATGGCTGGTGTCAATATTGCTAGTCTTCTCAAGTCAAGCCAGGCTACCAGGTAATCGTGATGTCCACCCTCCATTCTGAGATAAAAGTTCTGGTCCTTCTCATCTGCAGATGGACCCTCTGCTCTTGGATGATGAACCTTCGTGTTTCATATCTCCTCTTATCACCATCACTCAGTGCTGTGCTTTGGGTAAGGTTTGCATGTGCGCCTCCCCCCCTCAGAGATTGATGTGCTGGGGGTTTGGTTCCCAGTGTGTGATCTTGGGAGGTGTCGGGATCTTTGGGGGAGGGCCGAAAGGGAGCCAATTAGGTCAGTGGGCCAATTAGGTCAAGGGATTTGATAGTTCTGGGGCCCTCTGTTTGTTTCAGTGAGTGTTGTTAGAAAAAAGCAAGGCTGGCCCCCTCAATTTTGGCTTTCTGTCTTGTACACGATTGCTTTCACAGCTTCTCCCACTGTTGACACCATTCACCTGAGGCCTTCACCAAAGGCTGAGTCAATGGGGCCATCTTGGACTTTCAGCTTCCAAAAATGTGAGCTAAATTAATTTTTTTTTCTTTATAAAGTACTCACCCTCAAACATTTTTGTTATGGCAATAGAAAACAGAAACATTCACTCCTATTCCCTTTAATTTCTCTTATACTCATTCACACTAAAGTTTAAACTAGGAACCTCAGAACAGATGGCTAGGGCTGGGAAATCTGGGAAGAGCTATATTCCCTGAATGCTAGGAAGCTATTGAAAGGAGAGGGTCATGTGAAATAAGAGGCTGAGGCTCAGGAGGATATATATATATATATATATCTCACCAGACTATATGGGCTTTTGCAATCTTCACCTGGGCACGAAAAGTTCAAATTATGCCCACGGGCTTTTGAATCAATGAAAATGTGTCCTTTGGGTCCTGCAAGCATCTCCTGGTTGACCCCCACCCTCTGCCATCCACCAGATTGCATGGGGTCTGAGAACCAGAGGTAGAGGATCCTCCTCCCTGAGATCCAGGTATTGATCCTACAAGAGCACTCACTTACGCTCCTGGGTCCTTTTGCTCCGGCCCATGACCTTACATCTGGGATCCCACAGCATGCCCTTTTTACCTTTAGCCCTCCAACGTATGCCGATGCGATTCCTTGAACTCAGTTACATTTGTCTGCAATTCCAAGTGCAGGTTCTGTCTTCCAGATTGGATCCCAAAGAAACAGAGACCCAGGGGGATTTGGAAGCCAGATGATGGGATCTTTAAGCTGCTGTCCTGTGGCGAGTGCCCCAAGAAAGGGGATATGTTGACTGAGGCTTAATGGAGGGAATGTTCAGCTGGATGGAGGGGACTCAAGAGAGTAACATTGCTGAAGCCTGACTTTACACAGGCGTGTGTCTGAATTCATCATCACGCTCTCCTATGGTAATTGATCAACCAAACTGGTAGGATTGGGCCTCATCAGGAAAAGGTGGTGTTCCTCCATGGGCAGGGAGGAGAGGTGGGATGACTAGTGGGACAGGCTGGGCAAGGAGACTCTTCTGGGACCTAAGGGGCTAGCCTGGTTGTGGAGGGCCGGGCTCCCAGGGCCAGGACATGGAGACCTGGTTATGCTAGTCCTGCCCACAGGGTGACCAGGTAACTTGGAGCACAGAGTTGGGTGGACCCTTTGTCTTGTATATTCAAAGACTGAGATTCACAGACAGCAGAAGGTGAAAGCCAAGTCCAACAATGTATTAAAACAAACCCAAGTATAGCTGCCGTAGCTGGGAGGGGACCTGGGAGGGTTGCCAGTGGATGGCTATTGTCTAGAGCTTATGTGGATCCATAGGTTTGGGGAAGCCAGCCCCCTGCCCCATCCTGGATAAGGCACTCTGTGTCCACGAGGCCTTCAGGCAGCCTCCTGTCCAGTCAAGGTATTGATCAGGCACTTTTCCTTCTTTGGAGAGGCCAGGGACTCTGGGTCACGTGTGTCCCGATTTCCTATGGACTGTAGGTCACGGGTGTCTCTATTTAAAAATAACTTGCAAGTTTCTCAGCAGAGGCCTGCAGTGGCTGTGCGGTGCTGCTCAGGAGGTCACCTGGGGACCATTTTTCTATCTGTCCAGCCTCATTTCTCCCTTGACATCAACACAGCAGGAGGGCTAAGCTCCAGGGAAGTCCCTTAGGCTCCCCTTTTTTTGGGAAACCTGGGGTCTGTCATCGTCTCTGCTTCCCTGTGGCAGCCACGTGGGGTCAGCGTCTGTTTCTCGGGGAGCCCAGACGAGTCACACTCTTGCTGTCCTGAGTGTGACTTCACTGGACCTCTCTGACTTTCTGGCAGGAGGAACTGGATTTCTTTCATGCTTTACATTTGTCACACCCACCAAAGGAACCGGAGCCTCCCTCTCTGCTCATCCAAACAGATGACCCCGGCTTGGCAGGAGGCTGTCACTGCTCTGGGAAGCTCCGCGAGCCATGACCCGGTGCCCTGGACTTTTGGTAAGGGCTTTTCCACGCAGGTGCCACCCATAGCTGGAAGGTCTCTAACTCCAGAGCCTCTGTGTTGGGGGTTAGTGAAGGGATGGGATGTGTCAGGGTGGCTCTGGGCCTTGTCCTGGGCAGGGCTCACTGCCTCTCCTTGGGGAGTTTGGGACCTCTGCAGAATTGCCCTGGAATGAGGCTCCCCTTGTCCCTAGAAATGGAAGCCAGTGAGCAGGAAGGATCTCCAGGAGAAGACACCAGCATCAGGGCCTGTGGGAGTTCAAGGTCAAGGGTCATGTCTGCCTTGGAACGTCGGGAGGGAGGGAAGGTTGTTGGCCGGGGCGCTGGGTGGAGGGAGATGCTGCCAACTCCCCTCCCTGAGGCAGCTGTGAACTCTTGTCCCAGAAGGTGGCCAATCTGACCAGAGCGCCATCTCAGGTCAGGCAGTCGGCTCCCAGTGGAGAATGAGCACCTGAGGTACCAGTGTCCTGGGGAGGTCCTGCGGTGGTCTCCTGAGGTCACTGTCACTGTCCCCGCAGGGCCGGGCTGATACAACACCACCATGATGGACCCCGAGAGACAAGTTTATGGGACAGGTGAGTTGGGATGGGGTGCTCGAGGCCCAGACCACTAGCAATCACCTCTGTATCCTCCAGACACCCCAACATTTCTGTCCCTTCCTGTGTGTGGCCCTTACCACATGGCCCTTCCTGCCACTGGGGCCAGGGGATTCTGGTGGCAGGGGACCACTGCTCATCAGTGCTGGGTTGGCCCCAGCCAACCAAGCAACAGCCACCAAGAGTGACCAGGTCTTGACACCAGGTACTGGGGCTGCTCTCCTCACCAGAGCCCATAGCTCTGCTGGCAAGGCTGGGAGGTGAGTCACGTGAGTGTGGCCTGTTTTGGGGTGTAACCCCTGGTCCTCCTTACGGAAGCCTGGACTGGGTGGTCTTTCTCTTAGAGTCAAGAAAGCAGCCTTTGTTTTCACGTTCCTTCATTGATTTCCCCCCTTCCCAACAGCAGCACTTAGGCCTGAGACTTGGGAGGTGTCTGATCGGGATCAGCAGGTGTGGATCCTTCAGGGAGAGACCCTGGTGATGGTTCCACGGAGCAGCAATGTGACTCCGGGTGAGTGGTCCACTGTGCTGACCTGCCCCTCACCCCATGGCCTTTTGTCAAAGTGTGAGGACAGACGGCCCATAGCCCAGGAGGGTGACTGTATTTAATGACGTGTTCTGAAAGAGCCAGAGGAGAGGGCTCAACTGCTGTCACCACAAAGAAATGATAAATGTCCGAGGAAGGATGTACTCATCACCCGATCATGTCACTACTGCATACTGTGCACATGTATGGAGTTGTCATATGGCACCCCATAAATATGTACAATTAGTATGTGTCCCAAAGTGTGGCTTTCAGTGGGCCCATCTGGAAGAGGCAGGACTTCATACCGGTCTGGCAAGAAAAGCCAGAGAGGTTTGTTTTAGACTAAAGAAAGCAGGGTGCGGAGCCCCTAGGGCTTGGGAGAGCCACCTTCAGGGATCTGAGGTAGCTGATCTGTCCTGTGCAAGAGGAGTACCTTGTACTGTGTGGCCTCAAGTGTCCTAAAGGGACCAAGTGGGGACATCCATAGGAAGGCAAATTTCAGCACCGCCTGAGACAGAGCTTGCTAGTGGACAAAGCTCTCTGAGAATCAGAGGAGTGGCCTGGGGTAGGAGATGGCCATCTGCAGATGTTCAAGTGCAGGTGTCCCAATCTCAAGGGCAGGGTTGGCCATCTGAGTCTCTGTTTGCTCCAGCTTCTAGGTTAGGGACTGCCACATGGGATGAGTGGGTGGTGAATGACGGGCAAAGGACTGACGCAGTGGTTGGACCAATGGTAGGTCTGGTGTGGCCGACCACCATTACCTAAGCGTATTGATTCCTAGCTCCTAGTGGGTCTTCCAGCCCCACAGGAAGCACCCAATGCTGCTCAGTCAGGAAGAACTGTAAGAACCGTTCATTTTTCCAAACTTCAAAAGGAAACTGATGCCTGTCCTCTGCTTGTCTTTACAGCCACTGTCACCATCCTCCCATGCAAGTACCCTGAGTCCCTCGAGCAGGGCCGAGGGGTTCCCATCCACTTGGGCACCCAGGATCCAGACATGTGTCTGTTTTGTGAGGAGATGGACGGATGGCCCAGGCTGTGGCTGAAGGTGAGGGGCGGACAGAAATGACAGTTTAAACAGCCAATGTTTCTTCATGAAAATTTTATTGGGCAAAAGGTTCTAATTTTAGAATCATAACAGAAGTTCCCGTTCTCCTGAGCGTATTGATTCCTAGCTCCTGAGTTTTACGCGAGCAACAGCACTTCCTGTAGTGTCTCCACCCCCTCTCCTTGAGGATCCCCCTTCAATCTCCAGATGTTCTCCATATTTTCCAAGTGTCCTTTGTCTGTCCTTCTCCTCTTGGACCTCCTGCCCACCCGTCCTTGGGAAGCACATTCCACAGTGTTGACACAGTGAGGAAGTCACCCAAGAATGCTTTCCTCTGATGTCCCTGTCAACTGGTGACACGTGCTGTACTTTTAAAGATGATAGTAATGAAAGTAGGGGTGCTGATGAGAACTGGGGCACAGACTGAGTGAGGCTGGTGGGGCACAGGGAGCAGGCAGCTGCTGGAGGGGCACCTGAGCTGGCACCCTAGAGGGGCCGATGCCTGGTCCTAAGCAGGCTGGGAGGTGGACGCCCTGAGCCTGGGCTGTGGGGTGATGACTCCTGTCATCTCAGTGAGCAGGGAGCTGATGGGGGGAGGAAGAGGTATGGTCTAAAATGAGAAGGCGTCTTCCATTTGTGAAGTAGCAGATCCCTGCTGAGCAGAATGCCGGGCGTTGCCACATATTGAGGACCAGTGATGCACAGGCCTGGCGATTCTCGAGGGGTCCATTGGCTAAGTTTAGCTGGTGATGTGTTAATGAGGAAAGAGACCCAGGAACGAGCTGACGGTGGGAGAGGGGTGGGATTCGAGTTACTCTAGCGAGGATGTTCAGTGAGCTCTCCCTAAAAGCAGGCCTCGGAGCTGACACCTGAGTCCCTGGGAGGAGCCCGCCAGGCAGGTGTGGGGGCAGAGGGTCCAGGCAGGGTACATCAGGACCCTGGGTGGGCACACCTCGGCGTCCCTGAGCGAAAGGCAGAAGACAGGTGTAGCCTTAGCAGATCTGCATTGGCGGAGAGGTCAGAGGTAGGGTAGTGAGGCAGGCGAGGGCTGGGTAGTTTAGACAGGCTTCCTGTGGATTTCATGGTAAGTACAACAAAACATCATGCAAGAAGTTTAGTCAGAAGACATCATGAGTTTATTTATTGTCCTGATTTCAGTTTAAAGCTTGCTCAGCTGCTTTGTGGAGAATGGCTGAGAGGGAATGGAGTTGATTCCAAGAGAACAGTTAGGAGGTCACTGTAATCATCCTGGCCAGAGGTGACGATGTCCTGGTTGGCAGTGTGGGCAGGGGTGGGGGGCACCAGAAGCAGCTCAGTTCTAGGGGTGTTTGGAAGTAGAGTCCACAGGCTGTGGTGTAGATGTTGGGAGGGAGGTCAAAGGAGATATCAAGGTTGACTCGAAGGTATTCGGCCACCCAGAGAGTTGGCTGAATGACGGTAAGCCATTACCAGAGTAAAGGAATCCCATTGAGAACTCCCTACTCAGGGTGGAAGATGCTCTAATTCTGATCCATTCCTGGGTCTCTCTTGAGATCTTACACATACATAATTTAATTAAAAAACTTATTTTACCTAAATATTCAATAAATGCACATAGAAATGTACACACATACGACATGATTTCTAAATACAATAGAGAAGGCGTTTTCTGATGGCTGTGTCTCCTTCGGGTGCAAGTTCTCTGATTTATTCGAACCCATATCTTTCGTGTGTGACCTTTCTCCTGTGCTCAGCTATTGACATGAGACACACTCCGGCAGCCTGGCTGTCCTTTGCTGGGACAGTTGCTTTTTTAGGTGCTGCTCTCACCATTGGGCTTTGGTAAATGAGGTCATTAGCCAACTTTGCAAATTTGCATCTTTGTCCCTCAGTCTCTTGTGCAAGAAGAGCTCCAACTCATCATCCAAGGGCGGCCACCGGTTCGCGGACCTGACCCTTGTTTCTTTGCTCTGGACTTGAGGGTGGGGTTGGGAAGGTGAAATTCCACCTGGGGACTCTGCTGCTCTTGGAAACTTACCTTTCCAGTCCTGCTCATAGGTGGGGAAGGCTCTCTTGAACTTTGAAATGTTTATTGGTTACTTGGAACATTTCAAGCAACTTCCTTTTCTCCTCTTGGCTGTTCTGCCCCACCTTTCAGGAGCAGAATATCTTGGATCTGTACAACCAGGTGGGGCCCGTGAGACCCTTCCTTTTTTACCACTCCCGGGATGGGAATACCTCCACCTTCGAGTCCGTGGCCTTCCCAGGCTGGCTCATCGCCTCCTCCCAGGTTGGCCAGCCCATCTTCCTCACTTCCGACCTGGGGACAACCAACAACATTAACTTCTATTTGAATTTAAAGGCTTGAACTCAGCGTGGAGGTGGCCGCTTGCTCAGAGGCCTTTGTCTTCCATTTTTTGAGCTCCCAGCAGGACTTTGTGTCACCTCAGGGCTGCTCCGTGCCAGCGCCAGAGGTGAGCAAGCTGCTGTCATCAGCTCATTTTATGGAGGAAGAAGCGCTGACCTCGTGGCCACTGAAGAGCAGGCTGTGACTCAGAGCAGGCAGCTCGGGCTGAAGGCTCCTCTCTAGCAGAAGCCAACCAGCCCGCGGCGTGTCACCTGAGAAGTGGTGCATGGTGTCACGGTGTGTGAGACCATGGGAGGCCCTGTGAGGAGTGACACCCTCATTTTCAGCCCACTTGCTACAGCAGACGTTCTTGCATTGAGCAGCGGGAGAGCCAGGCTAACTTTCACTGAAAAATGGGATTCTTTGGACCTTTAGCAATGGGGAGCTACAGAGGGCTGGACACACCAGGAGAGGGGCTTTTGGACCCCGAGAGGAATGAACAGTGCTCAGGTGATTAGAACTGTCACATCGTGCTGAGGTACGAGGGTGGCTTTTTATTTTTTATTTTTTAATGGTCATTTCATGAAGCCGGACCTGAAGACGCTGCCTGGTGCCTCAGAAAAGACAGGGCATGGGGCAGAAGACGCTGTCCCCCACTGAACACAGTGTTACAATCCCTAATTCATGTCAATAAACATGAACGTTTGCTGCTTAGACTCTTTTAAAGGTTTTAAGATTCTTACCAAACAATGCATGTCTGTGCTTAAAGGCTCCGTCCTCCACCCCGTCCTCTGTCCTGTCCTGCATGCACCTGGTAGCTTCGCTTTTGCCTCTTTTTCTGCTGTTTTTTTCTTCCATTTCAAGAATTAGCAGTTTTTGACACCCCCTTTCCTACCCGATGGATGGCATTTGCATCTCTACAAAAATTGCAAGCTCTTTATCTGTTTTCTACAAAGAAATAAATCCCAAGCTGCAAGACCGGTGAGGTCGTACTCACAGGTGTTGAGACGCCTTAGGAGGGGCCTGGGAGGTCAGGCCTTCTTTTTCAGGATTTGGATAATGTTTATGAATTTCTCCCTCTCCTTCAGCCTTTTCATTTCTTGGGCGAGGGAAGGGAGGTACACAGAGTGCATGGGTTTGCTGAGGGGCACTGCATTTCATAGAACTGGAGGAATGGCATGCTCGAGGCTGGGTCTTTAGAGTGCTGTGTGCTGGAATTGGGGAGGGGGTTGTGAATCGTGAGAAATCAGCAACAGTGACCCCAGCAGGGCAGCAGAGCCAAGTCTGAGCCTCCTCACTCCCTCCATTGGGGTTGCCCTTAATTTGCAAATTTTCAGCAGATGATCCGTCAAATGGAATCTCTGGCCTCCCAGACACCCTGATGGAATGATGTAATCAGTGGAATGTACTAATTGCACACTGTATTTCTAAACTCCCTGGGTGGTGCACTAAAACCCCAGGGACCCCCACACCTCATAAAAACCCTCTTCTAGAAACTGCCATTTATCAACTTCAAGGTGGGCCTCAGAATCAACATTTTCCCCAGGACACTAGGGAATACTGACTGATGGACCAAACTTGGGAAATACTTTCCTGGATTATCCCAGTGGAATTTCATGGGCAAAAACTCTTCGATTAATCATGCTTGGGATAATCTGTGTGCTTCAACAGAAATAAAGAGATACTTACATATACGTTTTGCTCATTTTGTTGGTATTTACTTCTCTAAGGATTTTTTCCCCTCTTGAGTGATTGAAAAGTGAATTGAACAAAATGACTCAAATAAAAAAGCCATCAAGTAAAATTTCATAACATTCTAAAGCTAGAAAGAACCCAAGCTTCCATGAACAGTGAATGGATAAATCAGTAGTGTGTATTCAATGTTGCTTAACAACGAAAGGAAATTGATTACTCATAGAGATTCAACCAGATGAATGTAAAAATATTGAAGATGCCAGACGCAAAGGATATCTACTGCATATTTACTTCTAAAAAGTTCAAGAATGGGCAGCATTCATCTTTGATGATGGAAATCGGACATGGTTGCATTGTGAAGGGAGGAGGCAGGAGATTCTAAAAGCTGCCACTGAGATGACCCTGGTCACATCCAAGCCAACTAGAAGCCACGTGGCTCAGCTTTCCTCTATAGCAGCACAGAAAGCCCCAAGTCATAGGAGCAATGCTTCCCAGTTGGTGAAGGGAGATAAATAATTTCTAGCAAATAATTCTGTCGATTAAGTATGAGTGGAGTAAACCTGTTTTCACGATTTGTTTTCATACACTTTACTTGAGAAGCTGCTGGAGAATGAGCTCTGCCCAAACTGAAGTTTAAGCTAAGAAAAGCAAAAGAGAAATAATGTGGACTCCTGCAGCCGGGACTCCCCTCCACGGAGACGCTGGGGGCCTGCACCCTGGGGGCACCAGGACACCCCCAGGCAGCCAGGTAGTGTGATGCTGTTGGAGGGTCCAGGGCAAGTGGCTAGGCTGGCAGCAGGCCCCGAGAGTTAGGAAGAATTTGACGTGGGTGGGGGATGTAGGGGATGATGAATTCTGTAGAAAAGCAAGTGCAAATTAAGAACAACAAAGACTAGATGGTTCTTCATTCCAGAGAAACATTAGATCGTGCAGAAGAGGAAGTAGAGTCCCAGTCTACCATGTGGCCCAGTCATTGCAATAATAATATAAACTCTGTAAGGTCATTCTATACCTAGAAGACCCTAAAAGTTCCACCAGAAAACTTCTAGAACTATTAAATGAATTCAGCAAAGTAGCAGGATATAAAATCAACACCTGGAGGCTGGGGTTGTGGTTCAGTGGTAGCGCACTTGCCTAGCATGTGCGAGGCACTGGGTTTGATTCTCAGCACCACATACAAATAAATAAAATAAAGGTCCATCAACAACTAAAAATATTAAAAAAAATCAACGTCCATAAATCAAACGCAATTCTGCATATCAGTGACAAATCCTCAGAAAGGGAAATGAGGAAAATTACCCTATCTACAATAGCCTCAAAAAACAAAAACAAAAACAAAAAACTTGGGAATCAACTTAATGAAAGTGGTGAAAGATCTATATAATGAAAATTACAGAACCCTAAAGAAAGAAATCAGAGAAGACCTTAGAAGATGGAAAGTTCTACCTTGCTCTTGGATAGGCAGAATTAATATTATCAAAATGACCGTACTAACAAAAGCACTATCAGATTTAATGCAATTTCAATCAAAATCCCAATGACATTCCTCATAGAAATAGAAAAAGCAGTCATGAAATTCACCTGGAAAAATAAGAGACCCAGAATAGCTAAAGCAATCTTTATCAGGAAGAGTGTAGCAGGTAGCATCACTATACCAGACCTCAAACTATACTACACAGCAATAGTAACAAGAACAGCATGATATTAGCACCAAAACAGGTTGGTAGGCCAATGGTACAGCATAGAGGATACAGAGACTAACCCACAAAATTACAATTATCTCATACTAGACAAAGGTGCCAAAAACATGCATTGGAGAAAAGATAGAACTTCAACAAATGGTGCTGGGAAAACTGGAAATCCATATGCAACAAAATGAAATCAAACCCCTATCTCTCACCATGCACAAAACTCAACTCAAAATGGATCAAGGACCTAGGAATTAAATAAGAGACTCTGCATTTAATAGAAGAAAAAGTAGGCCCTAATCTTCATCATGTGGGATTAGGCCCCAACTTCCTTAATAAGACTCTTGTGGCACAAGAATTAAAATCAAGAATCAATAAATGGAATGGACTCAGACTAAAAAGTTTCTTCTCAGCGAAAGAAACAATCTGTGAGGTGAATAGAGAACCTACATCTTGGGAGCAAATCTTTACCCCTCACACATCAGATAGAGCACTAATCACTAGGATATGTAAAGAACTCAAAAAGCTAAACACCAAAAATACAAGTAACAAAATCAATAAATGGGCCAAGGACCTGAACAGACACTTCTCAGAAGATGATATACAATTAATCAACAAATATATGAAAAAATGTTCATCATCACTAGCAATTAGAGAAATGCAAATCAAAACTACTCTAAGATATCATCTCACTCCAGCCAGAATGTCAACTATTATAAAGACAAACAATAATAAGTGTCGGTGAGGATGTGGGGGAAAAGGTACACTCATACATTGCTGGTGGGACTGCAAATTGGTGCAGCTAATATGGAAAGCAGTATGGAGATTTCTTGGAAAATTGGGAATGGAACCACCATTTGACCCAGCTATCCCTCTCCTTGGTCTATACCCCAAAGTCTTAAAAACAGCATACTACAGGGACACAGCCACATCAACGTTTATAGCAGCACAATTCACAATTGCATTCAGCTTTTCAAAAAGTTGCAAGACTTGAATGAAGGAATGAGGTTATAGCAAACACCCTATATGCAATAGCGATTGTGTAATTTTTATTATTATTAAGAAAATTCAGTAAGCTTCTTTAGGATCTGTGTTGTTTCTGTGGTTTAAAACATTGAGGAGGTATGAAGAAATATTTATAACAGTATACCTGGGGTCTGGGTAAAGGGAGCTAACACGAATCATCCCCCAGACGAAGAAGCAGACCCAGGACCTTGGGGAGCCCTGTCTGCTGTCTCCCCTCCTACACATTCTTCTATCCCCTGCAGAGGAACTGCCAAACTGAGTTGGCTGAGCCATTCCCTTGCAGTTAGTTGTGGTCCTACCTTCTGTGATAGTCTTATCACATGAGTATGTGTCCCGAAAACGGGTCTTGTTCAGTCTGCACGTGTGAACACTTTAAATGAAATCACAGTATATATGCATTCATTCACCTCTTCTTCACGCTCCTGGGATTCATTCAGGTGACGTGTCCTGTCAGTTTGGGAGCTTTTCAGAGAAGATGCCAAGAGAAGTGCCCAGGAATGACCAGGGGACAGGGCAGGAAGGGAGGGCACACTGGCACCAGTGACAGAGGAGCAAGAAGGAAGGAGGGTGGGAGGAAGAGCCCTGGACTGCGGCAGCTGTGACAGCCCCCAGGACGTCCCCAGTGGGCAACAGAGCCCCCAGCCACATCTGGCTGCAGAGGCATTCCCGTCGG